AAATAACATATTAGCAAAATAGAAACACTTGGGAGGACAAAATAAATAAATAAATAAACATAAAGACCTTCTTAGTGCAGCAACAAATTCCTGCCTGGACATATGTTTCATTTCTTCAAGCTCCCTCCCATAATTTGTTACCTTTACAACAAAATAATGCCTCATAAAAAAATATTGGTAATTATCTTATATAAACAAGAACAACAAAAACAACAATAAAAAATAATTTGATAACCTCACGAAATTAAATTAATTTCGACTCACCGGAAAATTGGTGGTGGTGGTCGGACCCCAATACTTGAGGGCCGCAAGATCATAAGCTCGAGCTGCTTTCTCTTCTTTATCATATCCACCTTTTTATTATTATTAATATCGAATCATATGATTCAATAAAATAAAAACACCAATTTAGTAAGTACCTTGGAAAAAGAAAGATAGTATCCAAGGAGAATTCGCAGTGTCCATGAAAGAAATTATCACAATTTAACTCCAAAGCAAAAGAGAGAAAAAAAAAATCTAGAAAAAAAGATTCATTACTTACCTAAATAAACTGAAATATTTTGCCAAAATGATTACCGTCCAAATAGTCCATTAATCATTCGTCACGTTCCCACATTCCAAAAAGAGAAACAAATACGTCAGTAAATTTTACTTTGCAAATACAAATAAACAAAGAAAAAAATAAATAAGAATATTGATGCATGTTAATAAAGCATTATTAGAGATTGGATATACTGTTCTAAAATAAAAGATCCAATTCAAGCTAGAAAACCCTAATTAACAATTTGTATAATAATATATATAAAGCGGTGTATGAACCTTGTCTGCCCTTCCGACTTTGCCCTTCTCTTCTGCAGCTATTATCCCACAGGTGAGCTTCAAACCTTCCTGTCCACCTATGTCTAATTTTGGAAACCATATTTTAACAAAAATAGATAATTACTTAATAAATTAACTAACTAAAATTTTAAATCACTCATTAATAAAAACTCTAGTTTGATATATACATATATATACACATATATTATATACTAGTATATGTTATCCTATCATAATGGGCGGACCCACGTACAACTCTTCCGGACGTTATCCCGGGTAGAAGCTTTTTGGAGCATGTACACACTATATATATAATTAAAATTTAAAAATCTTTATAATGTTAGTTTAACTAGTTAAAATATATGACATAATCAACTCAAATAAAGATATCGACTACTTTTAAATTTAAATAACCATATCAAAGATATCAATTTTGAGGAGGAGTTTTTTATATTTTGACAGAATTAAATAGCTTCTTAAAATTTGAGAAAAAAATGTTCAACAAGCTATTTATTTCTTTTTTTACTCTTTATAATTATTATTTTTTTGTTTTCGTAACGAAGTGTCATTACTTTTTTAAGTCCAATCCTAAATTTAAACTTAAAAAATATATTATAGTTGAATGAATATATTTAAAAAAAAAAAGTATTTATTGCAAAGCATATAAAAAATAATATTTGTTATCATATATTTTTTTATTATAGTTTTATCCTCCGGTAAGTTTTAAATTCGACCCTTCATACCTGGTGACCCCTCTGAATATCGAAGTCCGGTGGCTCAAATTCTCCACGGCCTTCCTCTCCGGCGTCTCAACCGGAGAAGGCGCCGGCGCCGGCGCCGGCGCCGTCACCGCCATCTGCTTCTGTGTCTCCTCCACAGGAAACCCTTTGCTGAAGAAACTAGCGGCCAGGGTCTTGAGATCCGGGTCGTGGCCGATCGACGGGTTCACCGCCGGAGCTCCGCCGTCGAGCTGCTCGTCCTCCGCTCCGGCGTCAGAGGAACCGCCGAGGAAATCCTCCAGCTTCGGCCGGCGGCCGTCGCCACCAAGAACAGCCAGATAATCATCTGACACACCATTTTCTTGATCTACAAACACACGCAACACTGATGAGTAATATTATATTATATTTTGCCAGAATGTTTTAACGATTGGATTACTGAAAAATACGCGACAAAAACTCATTATTCTTATCATTATAATAATTACCAAAATCAAGCGAAATTCGGTAAGGTTAACGAACCTGGCAAAATAGATTAATTCTACAACACAGATCCATGTGTGTGTATATATATATATATATACAACCAGATAGTGTTGATATATAGAAAGTATACTGACAAGGAGTAGTGGTAAGGTAATAACTACTATTTCATTGTCCTTTTTCGTTTTGAGAAAAAAGAGGTGGATTTGTGAGAAATTTGTTGATAATAATAATAATAACACTAAAAAAAAGAGACAGAAAAGAGAAATGAAAAAAAAAAAAAGAGCTTACTATGTGGATAAGAGGAGAAAGACGGGTGAAAGAGAGAGAAGGCGAGCCAATTAGGGTTATTGGAATCCATTTTTGGTCAGATGAGCGTGAAATTATGCAGAGGGTTTTCTTTGGGAAAGACAACAGGTGTTGTGTATGAAAGAGAGAGAATCCATTTTAAACGGAAGCTAGAGCTTTTCTCATATACTTTAGGTTATCGTGTTATTTTATAAACTATTTATGCCAAAAATCTTGTTCAGCTAAGCCTTTTATAATTAGTATAATAAATATTGGGTAAGTAGCGGCTTGTATACCTATTTTAAAAATTTTATGTCATTATGTTACTTTTTTTTTTATAAGTTATTTAGAACAACTTCAATGTAGTTTTTGACACTATGAAAAATTATTTATATCATTAACTTTCGAAAGCGTGTTACTAATTTATTCTTCAATACATATGCATATTGTTATGATGAGATGAATAACATTTAATGTTGACAATGTTGAGTCCACCTTCTAATATATAACACCATGTTAAACATGATGACTCGTCAATTCACTATATATTTGATTTAATTTTTTATTGTTCTTGTATTAATGATATTATTTTAATTGGTTCACCTATACAAAAACTTCTTATCAAATTGATGAATAATGATATTATTTTAATTGGTTCACCTATACAAAAACTTCTTATCAAATTGATGAATTGGAGATACTAATTTGATTCAAATTTTTAGTCTTTTATCATTATTCTTATATGGATTAACTTTACAATTATTTATTGACATGTGATAAATGTCTTTCAAAGTTACAATATTGTTATATTGGAGATGGTCTTGATGTCTCAAGTGTTGTTCAAGTATGCATTTCAATATTAGTAAACGTTAGGTGGCGTGTATAAATATTTTAAAAATTTTATGTTATTAGGGTTTTTTATTTTATAAATTAATTATGTCCAATATGTTGTTCAGCTAAGCTTTCCACAAAATTAGTAAATATTGAATAAGTACTAGTGTGTATAACTATTTGAAATTTTTATGTTAGTTTATAAATTCAATGTCCCAAATGTTGTTCTACTGCACTTTTTCGTAATTAGTATTTTTGGGCTTTAAAGCTATTAAACTAATTGTTTTGTAGTATTTTTCGCCTTCAAAGCTATTAAACAATATTCTTTTTTTTTTTTGTCAAATAAATTAGTTAGAGAATTTGAGGGGCAATTTTAGAGTTGGATCAATCCGATTATTTAACATATTTTTCAATCTATGGAGAAACCAAAATATTAGTCAATACGCACGGCTAACAAGATTTTAGGAGCATCAAATTTTTTATTGGAGAAAAAATTGTGAAAAATTAATATTTTTAATAATTTGAGAAATATGAAATTTCAATCCTAACAATTATATGTATGTATGCCAACCCTAATAATAGCAAGCTTCAGTTATGATTTGTACATATATGTTGTAAGTAGAAAAAGAAAATAGAAAAAAGACAAGGAAGGTGGAATATATTTAAAATGAACATGAATTCAACTTTCTGATCATAACCATCAATAGTTTTATTAAAGTGAATGAATTTAAAATAATAATTTATAAAATATAATTGTAGCAAGTGGATGCTTATCATGGGATGACTGCGGCGGTGCTCCCTTGCCCGTCTCTTCACCAGACAAAGCTACAATTATTTACAGATACATACACATATACGTACATATATAGTATACTTGTGTGCATATATATATAATATATAAAATGTAGTACTTTTTATCCTTTTGCAAATACTTTGTTTTCTTTTTTACTATAAAGTGTGCCAAAAGAAATATGTCCGCAAAAAAATGTTGTTTGAATCCACCTATCAGATTTTTCAATAAAACTATATACATGTACTATAATTTATATTATAGACTATGCATTGTAATTTGAAAATATATAAATTTATTGAGAATGTAGGTCTATTTCTTGAAGAACAAAAGGTGTAATTGCTGATGGAAAGACTAAATTTCAACACAATACTAAAGTGCTTATGAGCCCGACTTGACTGGACTTATTAAGAAGGTGTCTTTCAATAAGCTTTAGCTCATCAAGTTTAAGAATAATGGCTGTTCTCGGTTGTTCCTTTCTTCTTTGAGAATATACCCTTTGTCCCCCAACGAACTTTTCGAAGCGCAGTGAAGTCAGAGAAGTCGAGTACCCCTTTTGAATGGATACACCTACGTAGCTTCACCCCCTTTGGAACACCTAGTTAGCAGCGCAGCTACTACTACTTCCTCTTACTAATAAAGCGGGAACACTAGCCCTTTCACGAGACTTTAGCCGGTCACCACCTTGGAACGAAGGAAGAAGGCATGAGAGAAGGTCAATTATATCGAGCCTCCACTCGCCAATTATGAGTTGGGAGTTTTAACCAAATCAGAAAGATGATCTGACACGGGTAGTCACAATAAGCTTTCAAGTCTACTTGAAAAGACCCATTGGTAGCTCGACTGAATTAGTTGATTCCTATTGAGAACGATCTAGGATCGGTATCCCTTACGGGAATTCTTCTGAGCCAGGATCAAACTCAGATTTTGACTTAGATCCTTTTTATGTAATTTTTTATTTTTTATTTTATCTTAGCTCCACTCGGTTCGAGTTGAATGGCTCGGTGATAATGATAAAAAAAAAAGAAGACAAATTTGAGTTCGTTTATCGACTTATTTGATAATTTGCTCGATAAAATCTCAAGTCCAAACTTTATTATTAAAAGTTCGAGCTAGGTTTGCCTTGTCGTTTACATGTGTCATTACCTAATCCCTTTGTATATTATCTCCCTCCATTTTCCTCAGGCTTGTCGCTCAATTCCTTTTCACACTTGGTCATGGCTCAAACTCTTTTGGAAAAGCTCAACAAGTCATATGTGCAACTAGATTCTTGTAAAAAGGCAACACTATTTTCCAACACTAAATGGAAAGTGGACGGCCACGTTAATAATAATGATAATGAAGTATTTACCGATCAAAAAAGAAATAAAATGATACTGAAGTAGTGAACTTGTACTAAATATAACTAATATTATGAGCATCCATGCCTATAAACAACAGTTGAATTAATAAAGATCTAACTAAACTAACTTTCTCCCCTATCTTTTGATTAACACTAAAGTAGATAATGTAGAAAATTAAGGAGATAAAATAACTAAAGAAAGACACAATTAACTGAACACTGATGAAATGAGGGGAAAAAAAAGAGAGAAATAGTAATGGAGATGATATCATTTCATAGTTTGAGGGGCAACTTTGTGTCTCCGGTCAAAGGGTAAGTGAACCAAAATAATAGATTCCAACGTTTGAGCCCGGGTTCATTACTTTTATTTGAATGTTTAAAATTATCAAAATATTTCTGAAATAATAGTATTGCAAATAAAATTTATTACATAAATACTATATATAATTAAAAATATTAATAAATTAAATACATGTTTATTCTAACCAATTCCACCACTCTAATCAATGTTTCATAGAACCTGTAGCTTCACACATTAGATTTTAATAACTTTGATCATCACCCATTCACCCCAACATTAATTCTATATACTTTATGTTTAAATAATTTCCCAAAAATCACAATAAATAAATGTGAAATCTACCTAAGTAATTCTAAAATAATATCCGAGCTAAAATGGTTCATACCCAAACAAAATTAATAATTTGATTTTTTACCTTTACATAGTATTTCGAATATATAGTATCTGGCGTTATAAGTGATTGACGTTTTCCACACCATAGGCGAAGGAATATCAAAGAGAATTAGCTAACAAGCATAACATGTGTATAGTGCTAATCATTACCATTACATATATAGTCCATATAGATAGATATAATTACTGAAATTGGATGTTACAAAATGCCATCTCAGTCAAATGATATAAAGCAAAAGAACCTCCAATTTTTCTTCTTCAAGGAGCAGAGACACGAAAGCACCATCTTAATAATTCCCAAATTAAGAAGCTGTGGATTTGTAGTGATTTTCATCAATTGTCGAATAAACCAGACCTTCCGATTCCAGAGACTCGATTGCTTCCCTGTTACAAAATGAAGAATAAAAAAAAAATCAATCACAAGAAAAGATGATACACAGAGAGAGAGAGAGAGAATCGTACTGGATTTTTTCCTGAGAAATTTTGAGTTTTTGGGCAAGTTCATTCAGGTGCACACCCTTTTCTTGTGCGCTGAAACACAAAATGTAAAAAAATAAAAAAACCAGTCAAGTCGTGCTTAATTTGCATGAATTGCCGAGCAAGATTAATCAAGAAATACAATTCTAAATTCTTATTCATCTTATTGTGTGACTAATGGTAACATATAAATCAATAGTTTTTTCAAGTAACCATGAACAAAACATGTACAATTGTTACATAAAGACTATAAGATCAAAGATAAACAACTTACAGGGAGGAAGGAAGCTGAAGATAGTCCAAAATCATCTTATCAATGTTCCCTAGTCCATCCAAGTTGTATTCTTGAGAGCTCTAAATGATCAATAGAAACAAGAGTACAAATAAGTACTGTCAATTTGATAGAAAAGAACAAACATATTATGTTAACACAATAAAATCTTAATTGCAAACTAACTTGACTGGACGAGACAGGTTGGCTGACACCCACGGAAGCTGAAGCAGGGGCAACACCATTATTCTGCAAGCCCACAACAATTTGAAACTAGATCATTACTCCCAAATCAAAAAGAAATGAAGAGAAGTACATTTGATGATTACATGCATGTGTTTGAATGAGAACAATGTAAAAACTAACCAAATACCTGTGATTTAGCATTGCAGCAATGGGCATGCACACACTCAAGAAAGTGGTTTGCTATCTCATTATAATCATTCACAGGCCTGAGAGTAGTCAAAATCTTTAATTAGTTAAATTCTTCCTAAACCAATCTTTAAAGGAGTCGCATAAATTTCTATATAACAATATGGATGCACCAAAATCATTAGTATAGGCATATAGCACATGAAGACTGAACTTAAAACAACTGACATTTCTCAGCTCCTAGCATAGACAGACTTCTAGAAAATATCCAAGTCCAACCACATTTTTAGCTGACTAAACGCAACACAAGCCAAGTGAGAACCACTGAGTCATTCCCCAAGATAGCAAGTGCAAAGTAGAAAAAGGCATTATAAGTGCACAAATCTTTATGAATCAAGAGACTTCACATAAATGTCATAAATCTAACATAGTTTTCTAGAACATCATCAAGAGACTTCACATAAATGTCATAAATCTAACATAGTTTTCTAGAACATTAATGATTTGTCCTGTGTCTACATGGTTAAGTTGATTGGTGTTCTTAATCTTATCATAAAGTATCAATTTAGCTTTCCAACAGACAAGTGCACAACAGAAGCTTGATTGAAAATTAGAAAAGAAATAACTTAAAGATAAGTGCACAGCTTCATGCAAGAGAAAATACTGTTAATGGCACAAGTATATTTTTTATTGGCAAAATAACACATGAAGTACTGTTAGTCTCCACAGCTTCTGTTAAGCAGCAGTTACCTGATAGCATAAACTACAACTTGCTTCTTCCCCTTAAAACTCTTCAAATGCCCATGAACACGAACATACATCCCATCCCTGCTTCAAAATAGCTTTCTTAGCAAAACACAATCAAAGCTCGGTAGTTGCTAAGATTTTCCAAACTTACATTAAGCCTTCAACTTCCTTGGTTTCCTGCGGATCATTTACCCTGTCAAAATTCGAATAAATGTATGTACATTAGCTAAACGTCACATAAATAGAAGTTAAGAACACTTGCTGTAATAGTAGAACATGGGTCTGTCAGACTCTGTTGAGGACTGCCCTAGAACTCATCTTTGAATTCCTCAGACATATTATGGCACAAGGCATAATATTCAAACTAATTTCCAGATGAGATATATACACTCAAACTTACACAAAGATATAACACTAGAAAGTCGTTAAAAATGATAACTTACCATCTATTGCATCCAATGCGCCCAGTGCCATCATCAATCACAAAGGATACATCAGTAACCCTCTCTGATTTTTCAAATACCATTCCAATCACTTTCACCTAAAAATGAATAGATTTCAATTCTTTATACATATAAGCACAAATGACTTAAAATTACAATCAAAATGCAAAAGACCAAAAAAGACTTTAACTTGGTAGTAATATTATAATCATTTGGGAAGACATCAATTCAATTTTCCAATCAGTAATTGTCAGACAGAATCTGATTTTCATTAATATTCTTCATTCCTAATTGAAGTCAGATCAACTCTTATCTACCCACTGCAAGATTATACATTATAATCTTCCTTCATATCATTCACTTCGTTTAATAGAGAGACTGTCTACCACAAGAAAAGTAGAAATCAAGGGATTTCTTTTAGAAAATCACAATTCTTAGACAATCGAAGGCGTTTTAATTCGTCAAACATGAGTAATGGTTCGATACCGGGCTTTTACTGCTGGATCAACACACACACATACCCACACGGGTTTGTGTTGATCCCATAGTTACAAAAAAAACCCTGTGACTGCAGTAAGTTGAAATGCACCGAGCAAAATCACCAAAAGAGATAACAAATATTCAGGTAAAGAAAAGGGGAAAACGCACATTGTACACATCAACGCCATCGATGACGAAACCTGACTTGTCGTCGGACGATAGAGCGGCATCGATTATCTGCTTCACCGTCACCGGATACATAGCCTGGTTATCCCGACTCTAATTTCACAAATTGAAACGTGAGAAACATATCTAGCTCATGCTGGTTAATCTATTTTACAATTGTGCATTAAATTATCAACTTCGAACTCCATTTTGTGAGTGCGATTACCTTTGCTGAGGCGCGGGAAGGATCGGCGGACTGAGAAGAAACGAAGCCACCGCCGACGGTAAATGTTGGACCCGAATCATATTGGCTGCTCTCAAACATCATCTTCCTCCTCTTCGCGACGGCGAGTGTGTGCGTGGGTGGAGATGCGTATAATTAGGGCGTAATTGTGTAGATTTTGGGTTGAAGATTGGAGGGTTTAGCGCCTTTTCAAGAGGGTTTTGCCGCCCATTTTTTCACCTCAAAACCACTTTTTCCCTCTCATTTTCATTTTTTTTTTTTTCCCCACTTAAAACCATAATAAAAAAAGTTAACAAAATAGAACACATAAACAAAAAATCTTATGCTAAAATGTCTACTCGAGAAAATATGATACAATTAGATTTTTTCCATTACGTTGCCGCCATTGCAGCCAATATGTTGAGTCTGGAAAATAAATTAGGGCCAAAACAAATTTTTAAATCTTAGTCGTTAATTTATGTTTAATTTCATCCATACAACTCACTTTGTCAATAAGTTTTGTTAAGTGACTTGATTAACACAACATTATTCTTTTAGTTAGGCTCAAGTTGTTTCTCATTAAGTCGACTTCGAGCTTGTTTGTTAACAATCTTTAACCAACAAGTTAAAAATCAATATCAATTACACTTGTAATCAATGGCGATGTACAATCAACTCTAAATGACAATTACAATTTTTATTTATTTTTGATATATTCATTTCACAATTATTTGAAGAAATATCACAATAAATGATAATTTAATTGTAGATTTCAACTTTAGCGGGGAAAACATTTATACTTTTAATCAAAATAAATTCACTTCAAAGTTTCAAGAATTATTAGTTTATTACCACTTACCAATCCATTGATCTCTTTGCCTTTTGGTTGAGATGGGATATCCCCTACCCACTAACTGGTGTTTGAAGATTATGATAGCGGCCCACGGGATAGCACTCGACCCTTCCATCATGTGATAATTCAATCTGGAAGACAGTGAGGTGATAACTTAATCCCTAGAGATAATTCTTGAAATCACATAAGGTTAATCCCATAAATTACTTCAATAAAATAAACCATAAATGTCCAATTTCACACCACACTTCAAAACTCTCTCAATTAGAGAAGAAACCGTTGTTTAGACATACTAATTTATGACAGAAGAAACCACATATTCATTAAAACAATAAAATGGAAAAAATGAAAAAAAGTTTTACCATCCAATTTGAATTGGATTTTAATGGTTCCAACAAGCAATTATACTTTGCTAATTCGACTGATTGCAACAAGCACAACTTTTAGTGGCAACATCAACTTCAATCCATCTCTCTCCCCATTACACTTTCCTATGTTGTTAGTCCCTTATCACTTGTCATTTTTCTTACACAAAAAATACACATCAAACTGAATGGAAGTCTTAAAAAATGAGTGATTTACAAGGAAGGCACAAACTATTGACTAATGTTTATGTTGTATCACTTGCATCAAGATCAACCGGTACAACAAAAATAAACAAAAATATAACATTTCATTAAATAAATATACATTTATATTAAAATATTAACTGATCGACTTGTTTGGCCGTTAGGCTGCCTAATAGCATTTGAAAGGATCAACACGTTTCGACGTCGATGAAAGTCGGAGGAGAAAGGTCTAAAAACCTAATAAACATAGAAAGATTAATCACTTCTTTTACTATTATTGTTACTATAAGATTTTTCATATATATACGTTATCATTCTAGCACGTGGGAACTCGAAGCCTCTTTCCTGAATCGCGGAAGACCGATCTTTCTCCCGACCGTCTTCAAATCCGATTCCTTCTCTGCCTGAAAATCGGCGTAAGTGAATGGCCTATAATTCGAGCTTTCAATCACTGCATTCTCAACCGGGAACACAAAGTAGCCTATTGAAAACCTCTCTTTATGTTCGTTCACCTTCACTCGGTGTGTCACGCTCACGTATTTGTCGTCACTCATTGCCTAAATCCACAAACATATTACGCAAAAAAAATAATAATATATCATAGTAACATTTAATATATTCGACAAAAAAAACATTCATGACTCAGACCTGCAACATGTCACCAAGGTTGACAATTAGTGTGCCGAAAACCGGTCGAACGTTGACCCATTTATGGTTCTTGTAAACTTGGAGGCCCCCAACTTGATCTTGATGGAGAATGGAAAGAACCGAGCTATCCGTGTGGGCCCCAATGCCCCAATTCTGGTCGGGGGTGGGGCATTGGAAGTATCGATAGACTCGTAAGAATCCGGTGGCCGTTGACATATAAGAGCTCGATTTCGCCGGAGGGAAGTTGAGGTCGTCGGAAATCATGCCGAATATTTTTTCGACGAGCCTCGTTTGGTGTTTGCCATATTCTTCCAAAAGAGACCTTCAGAGCAAAGGGGGCCACAAAAAGTGTGCCACTCAAAAATCAATGCAACTTTTTTTCATGAATTGGAAGGACTTAAATATATTGTCCCTACATGGAAAAAGGTCCCTCCATGCAAAAAAAAATGCGAAAAATATATACTTTCAAATTGAAATATCATAATATAAAAAAGTAGGTTGACCCGTCTCACTGTTAAGTTGACTCTCAAACAAGCATTCAGGAACAATAAAATAGGTGAAGAGGATCAACATGATTTAACTAACTGTCAATCAATGGTAGGAAATTGGGCTGTCTTTCTTTTGTCTGGCCAAACTGTAGCTCATGAGTGAGCCAGTTTTGTTCAAAACTCAAAATGGACCTAAATATTCCATGTGTGATTTGATCAAATTGATTGAATCATTCTGCACGCTGGTACAACATCAACTCGTTAACAAGGTCAATAATTGAGATGAATTATAGAAGAACCAGATATAAGAAATTGACTAAACATTAATGGTCCCCTCTTCTATCCCTCCATGTCGTAGTTTTCCTTTCAAATTTAATACTTTTATTTCAAGTCATTTTTTTTTTTCATCACTTCTTCTCACATTTCTCAACTTAAATATTTATTTAAGATTTTTTTTTCTAATCTCCGTGCTTAAAATTATTGAACTACTAAACAAAGAATATGCCTCAGGCCTTCAAAACAACATGAGAAAGGTACGTATATGGATGCTATTGGTTTTGCCAACCGATAATAGAATTTATATATCAGAGAATAAATTTGGCAAAGTTGTAAAATATAGCATCTGTCAATTGTGCCTAGTAATCTTTATATTAATTGCAGAAAAAGCGAGTATAATGGTCAATTCAAACACATGAGTGATGAGTTATTGAGTATAGTTTTCAATTTTTTTGTTTTTCACTAATGAGTCTAGTCTACCCCAACTTGCTTTTAAGACTAAAAGACTATGTTGTTGTTGTAGCTTTTGAGTCATTTTTTCATTTTTTGGGCATATTATCCTAAAGTTTTATTACTTAGTAAGTGTTTTCTCAAATCATCTTTTACTTGTTTCAAGAGAAATAAATTCTATCACAAAATTAAGAAATAAAAGAAAAAGAAAATATCCTCATAATCCATGCTTTGTAGATTTTAACACCGTCTATATGTAACGGTGAAAAATCCACTGATCGCGCTTTAGAGACAAACACATGCAAGAAAAGTTCCAAAACAAATAATCCAGCCAAGAAAAACCAAAATTTGCAAAAAAAAAATAAAATATATATATATCAAACCAAAAAAACTGCTAAAGAGCAAGCCAAACCATAACACCAACCTGAAAGATTCAAGAAGTGGCTCATCATACTTAAATTTCGACACCTTTTCCAAAGGAACATTAAGACCTTCCAACCAGTTTACACGGTCCACCGCCTGCCGAGCATAATTCCCGGCCAAGCTGATTGCTGGACTGCCCCAGAAATAGAGTATGGGATCTTTGAAAAGGCCCTGCTTGGACTCAAAGCCCAGGTCGAACACCATTTGGGCCGTTTCGTGTAGCCGGCCCAACAGGCTCTCCGGCACCTCATGGTTGACCAGCCTGAACATTCCCCACTCTCTACAAGCCCGGCCCAGATTCTCGGGGCTCATTCCCTGGAAATCTATCACCGGAATAGAATCAGAATCGGAATCGGAATCAGAATCTGGTTTAGTTGACTTTTGGCTACAGTCAACGGCGTCATGGTCGAGGTCAGGGCGAAAGAAGGGAGGATAGGACTGTAAGTTGATGTTGTCTGAATTTGGCATTTTTGGGGATTTTCAGATTCTTGGGCTTTTTTCCTTTCCTCTCTTGAGCTTTGCTTGCTGGGTTTGAATTGTGTTGTGTGTGGTGACAGGAAATTTGCAGGGTGTTTTTTGCTATTTATATAAAATTGAGCTACTTGTTTGGTAATTATGGAGAAGTGAAAGAGTGGTGACTTGGACCAGTGGGCTCTTTAGAAACCTACACGTGTTGAAAAAAAGGATGAGTTGATCAAATGAAAAAAAAAAAATCGAATAAAAAGGGTTGAATGCTTTGGTCATATGTGTTTGGTTTTATTTTATTGAGTTTGTTCACGTCAGGCAACGAAATAATGACGTCATGGATTGCTGATTGTGTCATAATAAGAATATTCGGGTCTTATCGCCATTTCTTGATATAGAAACAATGTAACAGAAACAGGGCCATCATATGCAGTGTGATGTGATTTTGATAGATTATGGAATAGGGTTGTTGCATATTCTAAAGTTTCAATCTATGACTAAGAAAATTGAACCAAATTATCCAAAGACGCGTATTCGATTCTGTTAAAGTTCGTTTGGACTCACTCAAGTTGACTCGTAAAGAAGCTCGAGTGCAAGTAAGAAAATACGGAACATATTTTATCACTAGGCCTGTAAGCGAGTCGAGTTCGAGTTTAGGGTGCTCGAACTCTTAACGAGTCGAATTCAACTCGGCTTGTTAAATAAATGAGCCTGAAATCGAGCTCGAGCTCGACTCGTTTGTCACTAATAACGAGCTGAGTTTGATCTTTAACGATCTGATCTCGAACTTTAACGAGCCGAACAATAGAAAATCATATAAAAATTCTTTTATAGAGCCTTAAATGAGCTCTAGTATGACTCGTTTATCAAACGAGCCGAGCTGAACTCGAGCCTTAACGATCCGAGCTCGAGCTGAGCCAAGCCTGACTCGTTTAATTTAACAGCATTATTTATCACAACACTAGTGGCTCAATCATGCCAAAATCGAGTTGAAATCGATGCAATATTGCCTAGACCAAGACAAACCGAGACAGGACAAATCAAAAACGAACAATCGATTCTAATCCGACAACAAGGACAACATAATATCACAACACTAGTGGCTCAATCGTGCCAGAATCGGGTTGAAATCGATGCAATATTGCCTGGACCAAGATAAACCGAGACAAGACAAATCAACAACGAACAATCGGTTCTAATCCGACAACATAATCGAATGCAGATTCCCGTTAGATTCATCCGCGTTGAATTTATTTCGCTGACTTGGAACAATTGCCGGTCAACTTATTGACGTGGCACCCTTTTATGTGACCCATTGAAAAATAAGTTCCATGGCTCTTTCAAAATCAAAACCAAAAACCTTGAGAACTTTTAATTTTCACCACTTGGAGCTTATGAACAAAGAGGAGGAGCAAAAGAGGAAACATAGCTGCACAAAAGAAGCTTCTCTGTCTCTACATGTGTCAGTTACGTACAAATGTTCTGAAATACCAATATTTTGTTCTCTTGCATGTTACTTATCTTCTTGAACAGAGCTTTTTGCACATTTGTTTGTATGTTTTACCTTTTGGTCCCAAATGACATCTCTCAGAAAAATAAGGATAAAAAAAACTGCAAAATGGTAACCAAATTCACACACACATGCTTAAATTTCAATGTAGCCGATTAATGGACGTGAAATGGAGTTCAAACTCATAATCAACATATAAACCATTACCAGAATAAACTTCCAGAAATTCGATTCATTCGCAACATATACAATCCACATTTTGTATAGAAGTTCGTTTAAAGAGGCAAAACTCATGGAGTTTGTTAATCTCATGCAGACGACAAGATAACACATGACGATGATTTGTATTCAAGTTGGAGCAATCTACACTTGCGAATATCTAAAACACAATCGGTCAATACAGTTTTGATTTATATGATTACCGAACATGAAATGAACCCGAATTCGATTGGGTATTCCATGTTATGACACATCGAACTTGATGTCTAAATCATCAAACTCATATCACAATAACAAATGTAATAGTTCAAGAAATCTGCACATGCAATATTAGTACATTACAAAAACGATATTATTGGCACTAGGAAATTCGAGCTTATATTTCATAGTAAATCAACTAATTGACTGCTCCCGTGTTATCTCGATTCGCAGGCATTCATAGTAAATCTCTTTAGAAACTCTGTTAAATGTTTTTCTAATTCTTGAAAATACGACCACACGATTAATCTGCTAATTTGCAGGACACTTTACCATTTCCGTTGTCTGTTTTTCGGGTAAAAAGATAAACCGGCCAACTGAGGTAGGAAATCTATTCAAATTTTTTCCAACCATATTATCACAAATCTGTATTGACCTTTGTCCTACTCATCAGCCACTGCAGATATGGTAAAAACACGAACGCGTAATCCAACATGTTCTGTCTCGCGAGTGAATCATTGGTTTTTTTATTTTTATTTTTTCTGCACTAAATTAAAATAACAAACTATATACAACTAATGTACGACTCACTACCTCGTTTTTCATTCAAGACATAAATCCAGTGACCACCAACCACCGCAGGGCCCTAGAAGGAATTGAAGTAAATGAAAATCAACAGCACAAATGCATAAAAATCCAGGTGACAATGAGAATTCAGGACTTTTTTCGTAGGGAAATAAAAGCTATCACAGTCACCCCCTCCGCACGAGCCTTTTTAAGTAACCCGAGCAAAGCCATCCATAATTGCCATTTTAATTTCAAAAAATCCATATCTAACCTGGCTAATTAAATCACACCAAATTTTCAAAACACTTAAATCTCATAATCAGGCATGCAGCATTCACATATCCTAATTGGATTCACGATTTTTACCAGTCAATAAAATTCCATGTCAAATCTTCCTAAATAGGCAGGCTCTAGCTATAAATACCGCAACAAATTCCCAAAGGCTCGAATCACACCACCAATCAATCATACATTAACAAAAAAAGAAAAAAAGAAAAACAATAATAATGACTTTAATCACTTACACCACCATGAAAAAATCGTACCTTTACAACTTCTTCCCGGTGAAGGAGGACGAGGAGAGGCTGGCGGCTGCTGCTGCCAGCTCAGCATTCGGGCCTCGACTTCAACGAATGCTGGTCGAGATCAGGGACGTGCACCCGCCACCCGAGATCGACCCTCGGGACCCGTGGCAGATCAAGAAAACCTTAAACCACTACGAAATAGCCTCTGGGAAAATAATCGTGTCGTTTAACGACACGTTCGAGCACATTCTTCGCTACTGGAATTTCGGGATGGCAACCAACATAACTGTGTGGGGGCGAAAAGTGGCGGTGCTCGTGTGGGACGTGACGAACGAGAAGAAGCCGAGGAGCTATGAGGGAAGCAATGTGTATTTCCAGATGACGCCAAGCGGAAACTGCCTGCTAACGTGTGGGGAGATGATGAAGGCCCGGAACATGAAGGCCGATGACAAGATCGGGCTGTGCTGGGAGAACAATAGCTCGTGTTTTCATATTAAGCTGTTTCGTTGAATTTTTGTGTTGGGTTGTGTTATTTTTTTATTTTTTTTTAGTTGTTGNGGAGTGAAAACAAGTATAACAATATACTTAAAATATTAAAAAAAAAAATCAAATATTTCTTGGAAAGATGTATTACTGTTTTTATTTGACATGATACGCATTACTTGTAAAACTAGCTTGTTTTATGTTATAGTATTTTCTTTTTCAATTTATATCATATGATAGTGTTGATAGATAATTTTTTTAATTCATGAATAATAATTCTGTTATTTTCTAATTGATTAATAATTAAAGCATTTTGATACTCTAACTAGCATGCATATACTTTCTTTGGTTGGTAAGGCAATATATTCCAACACCTCAAAATCTTCTTCTCATGGCAATTTATTCTTGAAAGTCAGATTTTTTAATTTTTTTTTTATATATAAATTTTCTTATTTCACAATTCATAAAATCTGCAAAAAAAAAAGAAGAAGAAATTTTACCACTTTTTTCCATCTCCCAATTCTCTTATTTTAACGATTTGTAAAATCTTAAACCTTACAAATCGTAAACCATTTTTATATACAACTGCAAGCATCTTAAATCCACTATAGTATGATTAAATTAAATTAATTCTTCAGTAAAAACCAAAGGCTATGTTGTTGTTGTAATTGTTCAGTAAAAAGATTGGTTGAAAAGCTTACTTATAATCCTTGGTACATATGCAAGTAAGCACCCCTCTCTTCATGTCTTCATCCACAACTCACTGCACTTAAGCAGCATCAGAGAGTGTAAAAATGCATTTTACAATTCGTGAGTGTAAAACCAAAGGTATAAAGCAACCGGAAAAATAAGTATAATTTATCAGAAAGTTAAAAGAATCACTTCATATTTGATATTACATCGGAAAATGAGCTTAGGATGTCCCTGTTGAACTATGTTTGGACTTTTTATTTCTAATCCTGCATAGATCTAACTGCTCAGTAGAGCTACCAAATTCACGCAAAGGATGATATTGCACCGAACCCAGCTCCTCTTTAGCTGTATGAAGCCTTCTTTTCTCTACTTTCTGTGATGGAAAACACATCAATGAAAAAACCAAAAAAAGAAAAAAAGATAGATTGATAGAGAAAAAACATTCAGTTATTTCAACAAGCATTCGGTCATACGAAACAATGTAGTCTTACAAGGGCCTTATCGAACCCCGCAATTTGTTGCTTGCATAGGTTAATCTCCATCTCAAGGGCATTGATTCGAATATCAACAGGCACATTAATCTGATGAACCATCTCTTTTTGCCTGCCCCGGATAATTTCCGGCTGCCAAACATTCAACGCAACAGAAGCTTGCCTGTAAGAATCAAGACTCGAATATTACTGGTGGGATGATATGGCGGTTAAAGCTTTTTCCACTAATTTGATGAACGAAATCCAAAATCATCTCAATTCAAACTGCCATAGGGAAATCAAATTCACAGCTTCACACAAAACCATTGGTTCACAAAGAAAAAAAAAAAATGAATCTTTTGACTTAAGGATTTGTCCACTTCTCGGACTGCTTAGTAAAATACCTTGGCTATATGTCAATAAAACTGCATATTATGCTCTGGCAGTAAAGTGAATCTCAAAAACAGCTTCAGAAAAAATCCGTAAATCATTGGATGTCTATCCGAAACCTTTACCTGATCTTACGTAGATTCAACAGCTCAACAATTGCCTTGTTCATTTTCTCTTTCTCATCTGAGGTACGGAGTTTTATCTCCTGAATTTTCTTCGAATGCTCGGCTATTTGACTCTCGATTCTCAGAACAGCTCGCCTATGTGCTAGGCGCTTCTGTTCTCTGTCCTTCTCATATCTAATCAGAGTTTTTACAATAACATCCATTACTCTTGTCTAGAAAAAAATAATAAATTGAAATGAATAACCAGCAAAAGACCAACCAAAACAAAAAAGATGCATAACAAGATTCTTTTGAGCCAATAATCCTATAATTTCTAGAGATTTATCAAAATAGTGCCAAGCTTACATTTTTATTGATAGTAGATATATAGATAGATAGAAATTAGAAAAAATCACAAATAACCTCAAGGTACTTTTTTTGCAAGACCTAACCAATCACAGAAAGCTCGTTCCTCACATCAACAAGTTTTTTAGCAATAATACGCCAAAAAAAAATATATACCTAATTTTGTAGATGTTCTTGAACTTGCCGTTGGCAGCTGAAGGCGAGGTGCGGCTGCTACTTTTAACATCTCTGTTACGCGAATTTGAATCGCCTCCAGAAGAAGGGTAGTCGGAAAGGAGAAGAAGGGACCAAAGAGCATCGTCGGCGGCAAGGCGGCGGAGGCGGCGGCAGGTGATGGAGAGGCAGCAGAGGTTCTTGTAATCGAGGGTCCGTCCATTGATTCCAATTTCCATTATCTTTGTCCAGAGCTCGTCCGGTAACGCCGACATTTTGTTCAACTTCAGGTGGCCGATTTTTGGGTCCTTCCGGAGTTTCTTAAAAAACTGGACCGTTTTTTCGCTCGGCCGATCAATAATTGGGGAAAATAAATCGTCTATATTTTCTTTTCTTGGGTAAATTGATGGGTTGACCTAAAAGTTTTAATTTTGAATTTTCACAGAACATTGATAGAAAAAAAAACTATTTAAACAAAAAAAAAAACTATTTAAACAAGCATGTGCAAGATATGAAATGTGTAAATTATAGGAAATGAAAGATATAAATATGTTAATATAAATAGATTTGTGTTTCAAAATATGTTAAAGTGCGGTTAATAAGCACCATAAGTTAACTTATAGTTTATTTGATTAACTTCTAAGTATATATATATATATATATATATAAACCTCGTTTGGTGAGAGAAATTTTCTTAAAAAATTCAAGTTTATCTCATAAGCTTATTTAATTACCTTTTTAAATAAGTCTGTTGAAATTTTATTTCAGTAGCTTATAATTTAATTTTACCAATTACTTTTACCAGATAGCTAACATTTCAGCTAAGTCATAAACTATGAGCTATAAACTCGTTTATAAATCATTTTATCAACTAGTTTTACCAAATATGCCTTAATTTACCAATTTATGATTGGTAAACAAATTACTCCACATTAGGCCTGCAAACAAGCCGAGCTCGAGCCCTTAACGAGCCAAACCAAGCTCGACTTGTTAAATAAACGAGCAAAAAATTTAGATCGAACTCGGCTCGTTTATCACTATTAACGAGCTAAAATTGAACCGATATCAAGCTTTAACGAGCTGAATTATAAAAATTATATAAAAAAGCTCTTTTCGAGTCTTATTGAGCAGAACCGAGCTCGGCTCGTTAACCAAACAAATTTTAAATGAGCTCGAGCTCGGCTAAGGCCTCGAACTCGAGCCTTAACGAGCCGAGCTAGCACTACTCCACATCTCCAAAACTAATCAAACAAAACTCGAAATCAAACTTCAATCTAACAACTCAACTCAAAAGCTAGCCTTGTTATAAAAAAATTTATTTCNNTTTCTCCTTCATCTAACAAAATCACCAAAAACGTCCCTAATCAACCACAATACTACCAAAATCAATCCTCGACTCATCCTCCCCATTCACAAGCCTCCTTAGACCATCCCTAAGCTCCGGCACCCCTTCCTCCAACACGGCGCAAACCGGGAACACATTGGCCCCACTTACCCTCTCCTTCAGCTCCTCGAACACCCCTTCAGCCCCTTCCTCGTCAATCTTGTTCGCCACCACCAATGCGGGCCGGGCCGAAAGCCCCTCCCTGTAGAACTCCAGCTCCATCATCAGCTCCCTCAGCTGCACCCACGGGGGCCCGCCTTTCCTCCCCTCCAGCCCGGCCGACAAATCCAGCACGTACGCCACCACTTTCGTCCGCTCTATGTGCCGCAAGAAAGCGTGCCCGAGCCCGCGATTCTCGTGGGCCCCACTAATGAGGCCCGGGATATCGGCCACCGTGATGGACAGGTCGTCGTAGTTCATCTTTCCCAAATTGGGCCTCAGAGTGGTGAAAGCGTAATGCCCGATCACAGGCTTGGCCCGCGACAAGGCCCCGAGAAGCGTGCTTTTTCCGGCATTGGGCATTCCCACAAGGCCCACGTCCGCAATGCTCTTTAATTCCAACAAAAGGACGGATTCGGATCCGGGCTGGCCTATGTTGGCTTCGTTGTAATTGGGCTCATCGTGGCCCAAGTCATTGTTGTCATCTGCCTTGGAGCCTTTTGTGAAGTGCATATTGCCCAAGCCACCGTCACCTCCTTGGGCCACGGTTATCCGCTCGCCTGGCTTTGTTAGCTCAGCCACGTCGTATTGTACTTGTTTTTGTTCGGTTTCTTCAGAAAATTCTTCGAAATTCGTCTCGGAAATGTTTGTTTCGTTATCCGTATCCTCCCACGCACTGTACTCATGTGGCTGCCAATCGGGTGCAGGTTCGGTTTGGGGTTTATAAGTTGAAAATCGAGGAGAAACTTGAGAATGTGAGGTAAAAGGTGGCTCCTTTAGAGGTCTTCTGCTCGAACGAGATGATATCTGCTGAGAATTGTCTGCCTTCGGCCTTTTTGGGATGTTGTCTGTCAAGGATTGTTGGAAATTATCGGATGAGTTTGAATCAAGTGAACCAGGGATATCCCAAGGATCCAATGATCCGGAAGGTTTCTTCTCGATCGAGGAGGAAGGGATTACACCTTCTAAAAGATGAATCACGGTGCCAACAGGAACCAAAACAACCTAACATATGAGAGTGTTTTTTTTTTTTTTTCGTATCACTTAAAATCAGCCGAAAAACGTAATAAAGAATTTAAGTTACAAACTAACAAGATGGAGTATAATGAATTAAAAAGCGCAACCTTATCAGGTCCTCGGGTTCCTATCATATTCTTGGAAGCCCCATGCCCTCCTCTCTTTGCATTCTGAGACAAGAATGCAGCATATTTGCAACACATTCACAAATGAAAAACGAGTGAAGTACGGAAATAATAAATGCTAAAATTTTGTAAGACATAATGTGATAATCGGAGAAAAAAAGAAACTAACAACATGGTGTTGCAGACCGCGAAAATCCCAAACTGACGGAGAACATTCAAGAATCACATCACCACCTCTTCCGCCATTCCCACCTGACAACAACCAAATTAAGGAGGATGCATAAATAGAATTTCATTGCATAAATATAATCCACATTCATTTCATACTTGTAGGAGACAAAAAATGACCGATCTTTGATGATATTAAAATGAACAAAATAAAACGAAATATCTATCCGCTTTTCAAGTGTTCCCATTATTTAAGCAAAAGGATTCCACTGTTACAGCTAAAATGTAGTCCGGGATAATTGAAAGGGGCCCACCATCAGGTTTGCCTCGTCGAACGTGACGGCTTCGTCTGAAGCTGGTACAGCCATTGCCTCCATCACCACCCTTAGCCCATAGCCTGAATCGATCAATCATCTTACGCTCCTAAATGAAAACAGAGAAATATATATTATATATCTCCAGAAACACTTAGTACCACTAAAAGATGGAAAAAAAAAATGAATTAAAAGTTGGAAGTGTACATGATATATAGGAACTGTTGAAATGAATGTAAATTGAGAGAGAACTGTTTACTTGTAATGGCGCCTTTGTTTTCTTGCAAGATATGTCGGAATACGAGCATGATAGAAAAAGCCATCGGAATCTTGAGAATTTCGTGGCGACCTCCAAATGTGTGACCGTACTTCTGGTCTGTGCCCACATCATCTCTTTTCGGATCCCTTCAATCGGAAACACGGAGCTTCTGTTTTTCTAGATAAAATGGCAAGTGTCTCAGCAAATGTCGAAGTCTTTGGAAATCCCATGTCAGATTCTAGCAGAAGTGATAAATGAAGCAGCTATAGAGCTATAAACCTCACATACTAAATTTAAAACATTCTTATAGTTGCCGAATATGGGAGCAAACCGCAAAACCGACCAAGACCCGACGCGGGCCACCGGTTCAGCGGGCTGGCCCGCCTCGACACACGCACAAAGCTCGCAGTCGTGGCTTGGTACAAAATTGGGAACAATGTGGGGGTAAAAACCAACGGGAAAGAATCCAAGACAATTAACCCTACTTAAATTAACAAGAGCCAAGATTCAGCCAATACCTGGGTCAGGTGTCTGTAAAATGAATCTCCGGTGGGTGGACTCGGGATTGCCAGACTTGGTGGGCATCGGCCAGTAGCTCTTCTGCGGAATCAATGGAGGGTTTATTAGCCGACTGGTTTTTCTTCCAGAGTCTAGGGATGGCAATGGGGCAGATCGGGCCAGGTAGTTCAGTACCCGTACCTGCCCCGCGATCATAGGCCCGCGCCCCTACCTGGCCCGCCCCTTTTGTTTATTTATTCCTACAAATTGCCTACAATGGGTTGTACATGATGGACCTGGTTGCCTAATTCTAATTTCACAATGACCTCAGCAAAAAAACAACAGAAGCGTGATTTTAACAATGAATTCATAAACAATTCAGCATCAATTCACAATCAATCCAGCATTTCTCATAAGATCATAATTCATAAACCTAATTCTAACTAACACACAAAGCATATATAACAAATTAGCATGTGTTTCAAAGATAAAACCCCATCAATTTCAAAGATATAGCAACAACATTTAATTTTTTTTAAAAATGTATCAATTACTAATTACATTAAATCTGCAGCGGAGTGCGTCGAGTCGGCGGGGGCCGCGGCGGCGGGGCGTCCAGACGGCGAGGCGTTGGAACTCGGAAGCAGCGAGGCGTCGGAGGCGGCGAGAAGTCAGAGGTTGTGTTTCAAAGACGGGGAGGCGCGATCGCAGAGAGGGAGACTGGGAAAGGCCGGAGGCGACGCGATTTCACAAGGCAGACGGTCTGACGGTGGTTGCCGACTGGTGGTTGGTGCCTGACTGAGCGAGACCGGAGTGGCGAGTCGGAGTGGCGCACGATTGCAGTCTGCAGAAGATGAGAAGAGAGGCGGGGTGCTAAGGGTAAGGACCGTATGAAATCTGAACCCTAATTACTTTATATTATATACATAAAAAACTAAATATACAAAACATTCGGGCCAGGTCGGGCAGGGCCAGGGTAGTAGATAGGACCCGGACCTGATTTTTTTTTTAACGGGCCAGACCCGTCCCGTCCCGTTCTACAAACGAGACAGGCCAAGCCTGTTTCAAACGCTCCGAGTCAAGCCGGGTCCAGGTCGTTTTGTCATCCTTATTTCAAATTATGTTTATTGGTTAGGTCACCAAGAAAAAAACCAAAAAATTTAAAAAGATAAAAAAATATTGAAAAGGTCATCAATATACCCAAGTCACAATGTGACCTATCAGTGACTTGCAAATGGAATAACTTGTCCTATTTTAATTAGATAAGTATATTTTATTGTTAAACAATAATAAAAAATATGAAAATTCGTATTTTCAATTCTCTATAAATAGAGACCATATTTGATAGATTTTAGAATACAATTATAATTTTTAAATAAATAAAAATAAAATGAATATATTAAGTTGTGTGGGTTGTGGATAAAGATGATTTGAGTTGAAGAGTTGGATTGTGTAAGTAGAAGAAAAAAAAATAATTTTTAACTATGGGTTGAGTCGGGTTATTGATAAAAATGGTGCAAGGGCTGAGCAGTTTTTTCTTTTCACTGAGAGCATTTTGCTACTTCAAATACCCAAAATACCCTTCTTTCATTTAGTAACAAAAAATTACTGGTGAATTGAATTATATTTTTAAAGTAAATTTGTATGATCAAATAACAATTTCAAATTCGTTTAAGCTTAACTTGTTTCATCATGTTAGGGTATATTTAGTAAATCAAGAAGAATAGAGGATTGATGTAACTCGTTTAAATATTAACAGATTGATGTAAAATTATTGTATTGAACCTCAATTAGAAGTTTGACAGGTCAAATCCACTAACTAGCTTGTTTCTAAAGAATTTATTTGATTAACCCTACCTCTTGGATAGATCGTCAAGCTGACTGCTATATCATGGAGCTTCGAATTAAAAATGTTAATTATAAGAGAACTCAATATAACATTTTGAGAATAGAGGATTTTTAGAATAACATATCAACATAAATTTTTTAAAATGGCAATAGAATTCTTTATTTATCAAACTACTATTTGCAAACTGTAAATACAATCCTCTAGTCAAATCAATAATACCACTAATACATTCAACTTTTTGTTATTCGCTATCAAATGATAGCAAACAAGGCATATGATAGCTCATGGATTGTAATTGAAAAATTAACTGATAGCTTAGTTTTGATTTTATTTGATAGTTGAGTCTAACTTTAAGTCCGTGTTCTTACGGACTGAAAGATTGACATCATTATTTTTATCTTTTTATTACGACACTTGGGATAAGTGTTCGTGATCTGTGGAAGGGTCCACAATAGGTTTCGAAGTCCAAGAGATGGGCTAGAAAAGTAGCTAGAGAAGTGAAGTGTATGGACAACTAGATTAGAAGGGTGTACTACACTACCTTTTGCACAACCATTTTCTATTGAAATAGATCTAAGGAAAGCGTGAGGCTTCTTGAAGATAATTTTGCGTAAATTGTTTCTGCTTTATATTTGTGTTGTTTTATAAGTTCGTACTCGTACACTCCCCTATACACTTAAGTAGGCCCGATAATACAATATAGGTCCAATAGCAGTAATAAACATTTTTGTTATTATTATTATTATTATTATTATTATTATTATTATTATTATTATTATTATCACTTATTCCAATCATATGACATTACATAGTATGATGCTTGCTTATTATCCACTATCAAGTTAAAACAAGAACATTCACAGTTCATCATGACCATAGTAATCCTCGACTCTCTTACATTTTATCCTCTTGAATGCCAGCTTTTTTTCGAGAAGGTCGTAAGCAATGTTGAAATTCTGCTGCATCAAATTTCCGAGGATGCTGACAGTTGTCTTTAGAATCTCCGACGGCAGGATCGCCAGGCAGAAGATCTCTATCTCGACCTGCTGGAAAACATTGTCTGGGGTGAGCTCCATGTACGCGCGGTTCTGAAAATGAAAAGTCACTTTTGGAAACCGTTTTAGGTCCCTGGCCACGACCCCTCTGTAGCACAACCTCGTGTAGCGCTCGTAGATGATACTGTGGACAGGGGCCAGAGGGAGGCGAAGTTCGTCCTCAATCACTTTCTTGGTCGTCATCTCGAACTCGGCCAACGCCTTCATGGGGATGAAGCTGAGGGTCGAGCCGGAGTCCACCACCACCCCACCTGTGTACTCTTTGGGGTTCCTCCAGAAGAGCCAGCGGTTGGTCTTGAGCCAGGTGGAGCCGATGGCTATGCGCACCAAGTTCACGTAGTACTTGTCCTCGGCCGACAGTGGGGTCCACGCGCCCCACAGCTGGACGTTGCTCCCTATGGCGAGCATGTTGTAGGCGTACGAACGGTCGGCTAAGTCCCCGATGCAGTATGAGAACTTGGAGGCTCCGTACTGTGAGACGAGGGATATGCGGACGTGGCCCAGCCCGAGGATGCCGTTCATGTACAGGTTAGTCCTGTGCGCGCACCCAAAGACGACATTCTCGACGACCTCCCGGCGGTCCTTGCCGAGCCTGAATGTTTCCCGACCGAGGTTCCCCTGACTGTAGCCGCTCCCATACACCACACTGTAACTGCAGCCCTTGACATTGTAATTCCTGGCTTGGCAATCAATCTTGATGGCGCCTGATGCATCGCACACATGGGTGTTGCGGCAGTCCTCCACCCGGTAAGAGGAGGAATCCTTGGGGTCGTAAATGGGCCACTGCACGCGGACCCCACACGGCTCGCAGTTGATCCACAGCAGGCTGCTAGCTGTGTCCATGTACACAGACTGTTGTAGCTCCCTAGACCCCACCTAAAGGGGGACAAGGAAACCATTGAGGAGGCCAGGGGTTAGCTGGGACTCAATGTCGAGGCTGGACCCGACGCTGGCGTTGGCTGTGGCTGTCAGGTAGAGCCCACGAGAAATCGAGGTGTTGAGGTCATAGTCGGAGATTTCCTTGACGGTCCTCGTGGGGTCATAATATGGAGAAGTTGCGGAATGGAAGTGTGTTAGTTTCGTGAGCAAGGTTTGAGGAGTCGCTAGCCCCGCCATGCAGACGTGGATCAACAAGATCAATGCCATGTGTGAAAGAGATGGTGTTTTGTTTTGGACAGCCATATACTATATGATTGGTTAATGTTGGTTGGTTGGTTGGTAAGAAAGAGAGGCTAGCTAGTTTTCGGAATGGGTTTGACTTGGTGAGCATATGCGAATATATATAGTGGAAATTGGAGACATTTGTGATATTTTAATAATCGAAACGTCATGTATTAGAGCATTGTCTTTCACAAATTTTAATAATCGAAACGTCATGTATTACAGCATCGTCTTTCTTTCAATAGGGTAGATTCGATTGTGGCAATAGGGGCAGTGGTGGGGTTTTATTTCTCGATTATGCTAAATTTAGCTAGTAAAAAGTATTTTAATTCATGTCATATTCAACTAGTCTTGTGTTAGTTTTATTTTAGTCCAAAATAAATTAAATTTATTTTAGATTAGTTCAATGAATAATTTGAATCTCTTTCTACTTTTCCTTTTAGCTTATTATGTCTTTATTTTTCGTCTTGTTTTTGTATTTATTTTTTTGCTATTTAGTTAAATTATTTCCACTGTTCATTTGATTAATTGTATCTAAGACAATATTTGATTGTGCTAGATTTCAGTTAAGAAAATTTAGTATGTAACTAAATTTATGAATTTCACAATTTAATTTTTATATTCATTGATATTCAAATAAATGATATTTAAATATATGAAATTTAGTATTATATCTCATTTATTTGTGTGACATATTAAATGAAATGACAAATGAACTTTAAATGACATTTTGCATAACAAGAATGAGAAACTATTACACCTAGTAGTTTTTTTAATAAATTATATTATTTTTGTTATTAAATTCAAGTATTTAAAAATTATCATCCTAAAATCTTATCCTATATATGGGGCACTAGCCGCGAGATAGTTGCTCTATTGGTAATGCCACAAGACTATAGACGTGATTTTTAAGAGCACAATTAGATATGAGTTATAATTCAACTCAACCAATTATAACTAGTTAAGTCATGTAATATTCAATCACTTGATTCAAATTAACTTAACTTAATTCTATTACTTTTTATAAATATAATAAATTAAATAGTATCAATCAATCATTCTTATACATTACATCAACTTTAATTCATTATTAATCTGCTCATATAAGTTTAATGACTTATCACTTCATATAATTTCTCTCTTACTCTTGCATCATATCAACTTTAATCATTATATTTAAATATTAAGTAATTTTAATCTATTTTATTCAAAATAACTAACTTTAATTCACCAAATTAAATCATAATCGGTTTAATTTATATTCAATCACCCTAAGTATGTAATGAATTAAAGCAGTGAAAGTCAAAGCGACAGGCTCGATGTAATTGACCTAACCATCTGTGAGATCGGATATCAATTTTGAATATGAGTGCTAATAGATATTGTGAAGATACAATGTCTTTTGTTTGATATGGCAAATCAAATTGTGGTTTTTAACTAAAGCAACTTGATGTCGATTTTGAATATGAGTTATAATAGATATTGTGAAGATGCAATGTGTTGTGTTTGATATGACTAATCAAAATATGATGAGTATACGACTATAATATTGTACCAACTGCACATCAGTTAATGAATTTGTTACTTTGTGTCCACGAATAAGTAAAATATAATTTAACTTGATACATTATACATGAAAAAATATTAATAAATAAAAATACTTTAAAATTTAAAGTATAATTATAATTTAAATTATTAAAGTATTTTATAATTTAAATATCGTATGCACCTACATGAATTATTTAATTAAAACACAAAAATTTCACACTTAATAACCACCTATAACCTATTAACACCTAAATTTTAAACGCTACATTCTCTACACTAGTATGTACCCGTGCGATGCACGGTGGGCGCGTAATTTAAAACATATTAAAGTACTTATTTTAAATATAATTAATTCAATTTAACATCTAATTATAGAAACAAAAATAAAAATAAAAAAGAAATCATATATTATTAAAAACTTCTCTGTACACAACATTATTTGTTTGATTTGGGGGCAAATCATGTTCACCACATATTAGAATTTTCAGACCCCTCCTTTGATGTGCTTATTCGCACTTCGCCTAAATAAAAAATATAATTATGGAATTAGACAATAAAAAAAAATAAAAATAAAATAAGAAAATTATGATTTAAATTTATTAAAATATTACCATCGAACACCTTAGCACGACACATTTGCAGGATTATGACAAACGCTTGTTGTTCATTCATATAATGATGCTCAATTGCGATTAGTTGATCAACATATTGTCCCCAAAGGGTACAATTCTTCTTTTTTCCTCTAAAAAATCGAATAAACTCCACGTTAAAAAATCGGAAAATTGGACTATCATACAATTGAATATTAATCGCTTCCACAAAAAAAAAATCAAATTCGAATCTAATAGTTAATATGTTAACAATGTTAAGAAATCTAATAACAATCTATACGATTATAAACCACATGAATATATAATGTTATATATACTTACTCCAAGTTCATAAGGGAGAAAACAATCATTTGCGTAGGCACCCCCTTGACCGTCTTCATTTGAATTGGTTGTATTTCGACAACCACCCCAATAACATCTATAAATTAAGATGTAATAAAGAAATTTAGGTTAATTGAATTTAATAATTAATACACGACAAAAATATTGCAAATTAAATAAAATAATTCGGAAAAAATAAGCACGTAATAATATCTTACCAAACAACATAGTTTCATCTATATTGTCAATATCCATTAAAGTTGCAAAATCTCTAAAGACGAAACGATATGTGGGGAAAAGATGAGGCCACTTGATAAATTTGGTATCCTTGTTCAGCACAAGCCTCCAAAGGCTTATTGTCGTTTGGTAAATGCCAGTATTACTTTCGACTTGATAATTTTTCAAGACATAAACGACCCCTTCTTCAACTTGGTTGATGAAATTAGCAATATGCATAGGTCGGGCGAGAGCATTGATACGTCCTCCCTTACAAAGTACATAAAACAAACAATTATTTCGAATTAGTATGCAACAATAAAATTTCGAAAAAATAATGTTATCAAATAGATGTCATTCAAATACCTCAGAATCGTGCAAAATAAATTCGAGGGAATTTTTATAGCCTCTATCCTCCTCGCGTATAAACATTCTAATGACGCGTAGCTTAATGAAGGGTCGGTAAGTTCTTTTGAGGTCTTTAATAGTACCAAAAGCAGGAGGCATTTTGAAAAGTTGGGGAAAGATAAAAAAAGAAAAAAAAAAGACGATTTGTGGGGAATTTTCTGTGATCAGAGCGTGCTCTCAATCTGTTACCGATGGGGTGTTTATATAGTGTGTATATGGGTTATACCCAAATTATACCTTTTTTTGTAGACTTATCCTCAGATTTTCGAAAATAAAAAAAATGAATATTAAATTGAGATCTTAAAAATGAAGGAAGTAAATCAAGTTTTGAGATATTACCTCATTTTAATACATTACAGTTTTTAATTAATATATTATAGGTATTTGAATGAGAGAAGAGATCTTTAAAGAACATCCACTACTTGATTATTTTCTTGATTAAAAAGAAACAAATATCTGTAAAGTGATTATTAAACACATGTTATATATTCCATGTGAGAATCAATTATTTATTTGTACATATATTGCTCAACTAATAAATTATTTTCGTATAAATTTAAATTTACATATATCTTTTTATTAATATATTACTTTCGAAAATATAAATTTAAAATATATACGGATGGTTAAAACTATAGATTGAAATCTTTAATTTATAAAGGATTAATCATACAAATCATAAATTATTGAGATATTTATGCACAAGTTTCCTTTACACAATCGTTAGAATTTTTTAGATTTTGATAATTGACTCTTTATTTTGATATTGCAGGTATGGAATCAGATACGGATTTTATGGAACCAATTGAAGATTGTATTTAGAAGATGTATTTAACAACTATTATATGTTTAATTAAGGAATTTAGTATCAACAAATTTGAGGACTCTATTTGAGTCACGTCTTCTAAGTTGTAAAGAGATCCCAAATACTTATATTCAGCCACTATTTACGTTAATGACATTTTAAATAAATGAGATCAAAATCAAAATCCCAAAAAAAAAGGGAAAACGTGTATGAATGGAAAAACAATTCAAATTTGTGGATGAAAAAAATTCAAATTAAACTTAAGGAGGGAAAAACTGATGTTTAAGCGGGAAATCGAAATATTTATTCAAACATTTTTCCTTCTCCGTATTTTATAGTAATAGATTATATATACCTATGTATAATTAAAATCGTGCCAGTTCAATTTATTGCATAGAAGATCCAATAAATTTTGGCCAAAGAAGATGATAAGACTGATGTGTAGGTAGAAAATAGAAAATAAAATAATAATAATAAAAAAAAAAACAGAACGGTGAAGACATATATAGTGATATGCTTTTCTTAAGAACTAGTACGGTACCCGTGCGATGCACGGGAGCATTTATTATCTATTTATTTTTTAAAAGGTATTTTTGTATTTAAATTGTTTCATGCCATTAAAAATTTCATGAATGTTATTAAACACTTTCCTTATGTACAACATTATTGATTTGATTCTTTGGCACGTAAAGTAATACATATGTATTCGAATTTATCCAAAATTGCATATTATTAGTTAACAAAATTTAAAAAATTAAAGGATCTTATTTATT